GCTGTTTTCACGCTATTCAAGTTTAAAAATGCATTTACATTACCCTTAATTTAATCTGTCCTGGGTTTCTTATATCAATGATGAGGCTTGCTCAATGCAATTTTAAAATTAAATAGCGCAAAAACAACTGAACAAAATATCAACATATATGGTATATTTGGAATCAGAAGAAAAAAAGCTATCATTCTAGCCAAAAATATACAAGGTGTTCCATTTGAAAAATCCAAGTGTTTGTCATTGTGACAGTTGGCACCTGTCATCTGCCCATTTTGACATTCGCGAAAGATAATAGACATAAAACCCTACAACTTTCATATTTAAAGTTTTTTTTCACCTCGTATAGCTAAAGCTGTAGCTAGGGGACAAAATATAAGGAAACACCCTGTACAGTGTACATATTGTAAATATACTGGTATACTGGCTAAAGAGGACTGTCGAAAATTCTCATTCAAACGAGGTAATTATTCAAAAATGGAAGAACATCAGGAAATAAGGACGAGTCAACCTCAAATCCATATTGGGTCCAAGATCATAAAAGTAACGTGACTTATCTATGGTAGTACGATACCCAATAAAGTTCTTGTTACTAGGGTAAACGTCATGGGACAAAAATTTCTTATCCAGACTACTTTCATTATTTTGCCAGAAGCACCAATCACATTGTTAGGTGTAGATGTTTTGGGAGATGCAGAAATAACATTAAGTCAATTCAGTGCGTCTTCAGTAGAATTGTCTGGTTTTGAAGGTTCGCGAGAAGATAAAGGTACAATGCTTAACAAAACAGAGCATGGTACTCTTAGCACTTTAATCAAAGAACATGAGGATATCTTTAAACCGCCTATTTATAGCTGTTCCAACGTATCGTTTATCTCCTGTACCTCAGCAATTACTCAAAACTGAACTTGGTGGATCTGGTCCATCTGTAATGACCCGGGAAAAGTAGACCCGTAATTTACAATGTATTGATGTATTAACAGTAAAAATTAAATCTCAGTAAATCTCCAATATTTCAAATCAGTATCAATAAAACTGAAAAATGATGAGACAAATTAGCGTTGACCCCAAATTAATTAATAGCTATTTATACAATAAGTTACGAAATGACCGTCTTTTAGGCACGCGACGTGAAAATTGTCCAACTCGGCTTTGCCTCGTTGGACAACACGTCGAGTGACTAAAAGACATCGTTTCGTAACGTATTGTATACAAGATTTTTTCTACTGGCATTTTATAATAAAAAAACACATTTTTATTTCATGTGAATAAGTCGATTAGGCCCAAAATCTTTGTTACCTGCTTTTGCTTGACACCTGACACTTTTAATGCGTTTTTTTTTTCAAGATTCGATATCAATAATTAAAATCCCAGAAAGTAGGTAACAACACAAAGTTCTGTTTTGAGTAACCCAAACGTTCAATTCAATAATTACATTTTTTATATTCATAATAAATACAAAACAAAATTCAAATCTGTGTTTACTGTGTTTTTTATTTCTGAATAATGAATGACACTTTTAGGCACTAGTGCTTAAAAATTACTTTTACGCACTCAAAAGTCACTTTTACGCATTCAAAAGTCACTTTTACGCACTGAGTGCTCAAAAATAACTTTTACGCACTCAGTGCTTAAAAGAATGTCGTTTTAAAACTAAAATGACAATCGAAAAGTTGTCAGTAGGAAAAATATTTAAAATACGTTCAATTTCTAAAAGCCAGTCATAAGGCGTGTGTCATCAAGTTAGTTGAACTCATAAATCAAAACCCGGCTCAATGGTTGTCACAGACCAATTTTTGAATGTGTAGTTTTCCACATTGAAATTGTGTAGCAATTCAAGCAATTGTGCACTGTCAATCTGACAATCAAATGGGCATCTGACAGCAGACGCTCGCGACATCTTTTGCTTCTCGAGCACAACTATAGAACCAGTGCACGAATTCAGAACCCACAATTCGATAGTAACGTCTATCTATTGTGTAGTTTGCTACACAATTGGACTATCGATTACACACGTGCACCCCAATGACCAATTTCATCTCTTTGCTACACTTTTTAATAAACTGCACAGAAATGCTACACAATGAATAAATCACCTATTCCGTAACTCAAAATTCTTGAAACGGTAGTGAATTTAGCCACTTCTGCAAAGTGACAAAAGATGTCGCAAGCGTTCAGTGTCAGAGTCGAGAACTGTGGGACCGGATTCTGAACCCACGATTCAATAGTATCGCCCATGAGGCAGCTGTTTCACAGAAATCACAAACCAGTCACAGGGAATTTCATTGGGAGAAAATAATAAGGAAACTGGTTGTTGGCGATTTGGACCAATCAAAAACGCTCTGACTGGTTTGTGATTTCTGTGGAAATAGACCTTATATTTATATGAGGTCTGTTTCTGCAGAAATCACCAACCAGTCAGAGCGAATTTTATTGGACAGAAACAGTCAGAAAACTAGTTTCAACCAATGAAATTCACTCTGACTGGTTTGTAATTTCTGCTGAAACAGCTGCCTCATGGGCGATACTATTGAATCGTGGGTTCAGAATCCGGGCCCACAGTTCTCGACTCTGACACTGAACGCTTGCGACATCTTTTGTCACTTTGCAGAAGTGGCTAAATTCACTACCGTTTCAAGAATTTTGAGTTACGGAATAGGTGATTTATTCATTGTGTAGCATTTCTGTGCAGTTTATTAAAAAGTGTAGCAAACAGATGAAATTGGTCATTGGGGTGCACGTGTGTAATCGATAGTCCAATTGTGTAGCAAACTACACAATTGTGTAGCTTGTAACAACCCTGAACCCGGAAACGATTAAATACAAGGTTAGGTAGGTACTTAATTAAATTAGGTCCCAAAGTGACAAACATTTCAAAAGATCGTATAATTTATTGCCGACACGAGTTCGGTTTTTCCTTAAATTAAGTGTCCTCTTTCATTCTTAAACCAAATTTGTTGACCCCGATAATCCAGGAAATTGCGACATATTTATTCGGTTTTAACCATGACTTTAAACAAATGGCGGAATTTTGGAATCAGTTTAGGTTCAGTTTAGTCTTGAGTTTAAGTCTACAGTACCTAATGAGTCAGCCCGGATAAAATTCGCGGAGTTTTTTTTTTTTGCCTCGGGAAAACGCGTTAAATCGAACTTTAAAAAAGTAACGGAAAATTGTGAAAGAAAAAACATTTAAATTCGTTCAACATTATGTACGAGCTCTAAATAATCAAAAGAATTAAATTAGAATAATTTAGTGTTTAAGGGCAATCATCATTCAATTTTCGAGAATTAGACTCAATAATTAGTGGTATTCAGAAGTGGCAAATTATCTCCAGTATAAAAAGTCGGGCCTCGGAAAAGTAAAAATTAAAAATTACAATAAATAACTCGAATTAAAGAAAAAGTAAACCTTTCAATTTTTATGTGCGTGCTCTAGCTATTTTGAAGTGAATAATAATTAGAATAATTAAGTGACTTTAAGGGCGATAATTTGAATTTAAGTACTCTAGTGACAAGTTTTATTTTGACTTTATCGATGTTGAAATGACTATGAACTGAATTGATTATGAAACTTTATTGCATAAATAATATTAACTTGAGGGAATTGATCTTGAATATTTTTGTGCTTAGTATAGATAGAGAAATTCAATTCAAATGACTGTTAATTAAAATTAATTTACTGAGAAGTTTGGATAATCGAATTAATGCTGCATTTACATTCACTTCGAAGTCCAATTTGTCTTGAAATTGACGTGCTTGCCATATGGCGGTAGCACAGATCCATTTACATTGAAATAAACTTGAAGTTCACTTCGAAGTGCACTTTAAATTTGGGTGAGCTGCTTGCCGAGGACAAGTACAAATTTGTGAAATGTCAAATTTTAAGATTATTCATAGGATTCTCATAAAATTCTGATGTTTTCTCTTGACGTTTTTGTTCTGCAATGTAAAATGATAAATTATCAAACGTTTAATTCAACTTGAAGTTAGAAGTGAATTTAAATGCTCCTTTACTGTTTTGTTCCGTCTAGAAAATGATTAGTTAGATATTTTGGGGTCTAATAAAATGAATTAAGATAAAATATTCATTGTTTTGATAGTATTTACTCTGGCTAAGTACACGATTTTTGAGTATATGTAAGTATTGTACAAAATTTGGCAGTAAGCGATTTCAGGGATTTTATACGCTTATAGAACAGTTATAATAAATAAACTAAATTATGAATTATTGTTTTGAGGTATAAAATGTGTGTACCTATATTTATTAACGGATAACCATATGAATCAGTTATGTTTCTTTCAATTGCAAATAGACCCGCCCCCACAATTTTATTTTTCAGTAGCTGCCCAAGGAAATAATTACCATCAAATACGACCGCTCGCAATTTACCATCTAATCTAAATAATAGAGTACTTGGCGCGGATGCTACACATCATTGAATAATTCGAGAGTCCCGGTGCTTATGGTACCCAAGGGTTCAGATGTTAAGAATGTGCGGGTTTGTGTGAACTATCCACGACTAAACGCGATTACAGTTAGTGACAAGTACCCGTTACCCCGCATGGGGTAACGGGTCTTCTTTCCTCGACTAAAAGAAGTTTTCACGTGACGTTTGGATTTGCGTTCTGCATATCGATTAGTGTTTATAAGCTTGATCGTGATAAATTCCTATTGACATGAGTGACTTTAGTTTTCTCTTCGTTTCTCAGTACATATCAATTTCATGTAAATTTAAATCCATTTCTTCACAACTTAGGGGCCCACGCTGTCACCATTGTCCGCCACAGACACCAACTCATTTTCCGATTAAGCAGAGGACTTTTTTTTTGCATTTTATTTCAAGATGAACTCACATGTTGTCGATTCACCATTTTCATGTTTATTTATGCAATATAAAAGGAAAACTCAACAACAAAGAGCTTTTTGGTGCAGTTGAATAATATATTAGTATAGAAAGTTTAGGGGCCTGCAATCTCTAGAAGAGAAATGGAAAAAGCACGACACCTGCACAAGAAACTACTTTATTTCAAAAAGAACTCCAGTATCAGATTGGGTACTTTGGAAATATAATATTTGATGATTGATAGAATACATATTTGAGTTGTTCTCTTTTGAGACTCATGATGAGAGGCGCTTTCTAATCTTTTCCACTCAAAAATTTGGCCATAAAACAATCAGGCTTTGGATCAATATGTCCGCCTCCATCGAAATATTTTACTACTCCGCGCCTGGTTGTCCATTTTTGACTTGCTTCGTTTAGTTCCATTTGACCCTAATGAGAAAGAATCATTTTATTTCCAGAAATATAAGGCAAAATCTACTTACTTTAATCACCAACATATCTATAACTCTAATGTCCTTAATCGTGTCATATTTCGTAAATTCTTCCCTCAGTTTGGCTTGGCACCGTTCTTCATTGTACTCAATGTCAAAGTGTTTTACTAGAATATGTCAATATTTTTTAGTAGTAAATAACAAATATTACTCTATACTTATGTAAGGAATTTGCCTAAACCAGGCCTTGTAGAGTTTTATGACGCGCCTTTTAGCTTCAAAACGGTCTAATGATAGAATTGGTTTAACTTCTTTTAATATTCTTTTCGCAGTTTCGGATGCCATTTCGGTCAAGTTTCATATATTTTTGACAACACTTTTATCAGCACGATAACCTTCAAAATGGCGGTACTTGTGACGTCAACTGTCTGTGAACACAACGTTAAGGACGTTAAGGTCTGTTCTCACAAGAGCCTCTGACACTTTGCAAACTGTCAGAAAGAATCGCTCAGCTTGAACCTTCGACTGCATTGAAAGAAGTTGTTACGTGGTGTTTCCGTATTTAGTGCCGTATTGTGACATTTCGGGTGTTAAATCCTTCATCATGGTTGGGTTGATAAAGGTTTTACAAAAGCACAGTCTCACAATCTTCCCTCTATACTAGACTCATTTATGGTGGTTCAATATCAGTCGTGGCGTGATGTGAGCTGATCGTGGACTTATCGTTCTACGACTCAAGAGTGAACCACGAAAACGTGGACCGTGGATTCACGATCAGTGTAAACTACCCTTAACCTTAATTTACGAACAGTTGACGTCACTGGAAGCGGCCATGTTAAACGTAACTTTTCCGCGCGAAACTTTTCAATTTAAAACTAATAATTGCCGTATGACTACAATATCGATAAATTTAACGCAAAACTGCTCATATTCAATATTTTACAGAAAAAGGTGCACCATAAAAACAAAATAAGCCATATTTATTTCTCATGAAAATTCTCTATTGAACTATTGAGTGCTGAGGATTCCTTAAAGGAGACCTTGGCGGTAAATCATACCCCGCGATCTTCAAATGTACCACTTGGTTCGATGATAAACTTGTTTCATACCCGGTAGAGGCGCTGTCAATTGATTTGCGTACGCGTTGTTGATTGTGTCTCCAAGGTATCTCCGCTTCAGAAGAAGGGTGACGTGATTACTAATTAAATTATGACATGAACCGACATAAATTAATGAAATGACAAATGATGACAAAACGATGAACTGGAAAACGTTGTGCTTCTTGTTGTTTTAATACTCGTGTTTGTTAAAAAAGTGTTTCGTATTGTTAACAGAGCGTTATCTGTGTGTATTTGTGGACTTTCACAGTGTTATGTTTAGTGTAAAGATCATTATTGTTATTTAATTCTGTGTTGTTAAGTGTTGACTTTGTTGACATGTTTCGAAAAGCCAACATAATTTTCTTTTTTCTTTGTAATAAACCGTTATTTGTTAAATTTGTATCAAATTTTGTCTTTATTATAAAATAACTAAAAAGCAAATCGAAAAAAAAATAAGGCGCTTGTGCTGCGAAGGTCAAGAAGGAACAGGGTTGTTCCGTATATTTAGAAAGAATATATTTCGCTTATGAAGCAAGATAGAAAAAATATATAGGTATAAATACAAAGTAAATAGGGATTTACGAGAACCGCTAGAAAATTTAACTTTTATACATATAAGGTACCTGTTCCAAATAAGGCCACATTAAGAAGTTTAATTTTTTCCTAACATTATCCACCAAACCCAACAAAAATCGCGAACCTAAATGTGAAGTGTTTCGCTTCTATTACTTGAATATTAACTCCAATTTATTTATTTTTTTATATAAGTGGTGGTTTCTCCGTAAAACAAAGACGCTTACCATTGGCCTTATTTGGATCACTACGCTCCTAATAAGGCCACCATTAAAAAATGTTTAAAATAAATGCAATTATTTACAAAAATATAATTATTTGAGAAATAGTACACAAAATAGAACTTTTACGTTTGCTGCATTCTCGAAAAAATAATAATTCCAAGTCCTGAGATGGTGATCCAAATAGGTCTACATACAACTAGGATAAATGAACCGCAGCATCTCATGCTTGGTTAGACTCCCGGCATTTCAAAAAACATCACTCAGGATATAATATGACTCATTCTTTTAAAAAAACACTGTAATGTGAGGCCAATTGAACATTTTTTGTATGGTGGCCTGATTAGGAACATGTTAAATTGATAAACAAAGGTCTGTAACTAGAAATCTAGCAAAGATATTATTCTATACTTACTCTGTAGCTTTCACAATACATACATGTCCGTTAAAAAATCACAATCGCTGCATTCAATTTATGGAGTTCCAGCCTCAAAGTTATAACGTGACATATGAAATATGTAGTTGGCCATTTTTCGACATAATATGACGAGTTGTTAGGAACCCTTGCAATGATTTTTGATTTCCATTATAGATTTCTTTTTCAATAATATTGTAATTTTTGAAAATAGGATTCAATATTAAACAATAAAGGGCATTGGCCTTATTAGGTACTTGGTTTTATTTGGGTCAGGCAGAGCTGGGCAGGGCTTGAGTGCTTTGTGCTTGCGAAAGTGCTTGAAGCACTTTGAGGACTTGAAAGCCCTGTGCTTCAACCCCTTTAATAGATTTGTAATTGGGGCTTGCAAAGTCAATTACTTTAGAAAAGTGCTTGGTAATTTGTAATTGAAAAAAGTAATTCAAGCCCTTTAAATGAGCTTCAATTACTTTTAGAGGGCTTGAAGCACTTTAAGAGGGCGTGAAGCACTTTTGGGAGCTTGAAGCACTTTGAAAGGGCTTCAAGCACTTTGAAAGGAATTTGAATTGAACCTATCCCCCACTTAAAAATTGTCGATCGTATTTTGTCCTTTAATTTTTTTTTCTATTATTTGAACTTGAACCGTCTTATGTCTTTTTTCTCTTAACAATGGAGGTTTTGCGTTTGAGCTTAGAATGGAATTAAAAAAAAAAAGAATGAACTTATTATTTAAATAAATATTTAATTTATATTGGTATCCTATTTAACTTTATCACTGGATTTTTTTCACTTTTCCCCATTGAACATTTTGAAAACCTTAAAATTGAATTACCATGTAGTACCCCAACTACCCCAAGTACCTCAGAACTACATCTCAAAAAAAAACATACTACTGCTACTCTGTGAAATGTAGAGTTCGTCTCTACTATACCAATTCTGTGTGATGAGTGTACGCGGTAGCTTATGCCACTGAGAATTTTATTACAAATTCAAAGTGCTTTAGGCACATATAAAGAGCTTCAAGCACATTTAAAGAGCTTCAAGCACATTTAAAGAGCTTGAAGCCCTTTTCAAGGCACCCCAAGCACTTTTGATGTGCTTCAAGCACTTTTCAAATCACTTTGAGGGCTTTGTGCTTGTGAAGCACTTTTGAAAATAAAAAGGAATTTGTGCTTGAAATTGAAGCACTTTGATAGAGGGCTTAGGGCTTAGTGCTTCAAGCCCTTTTACTGGGGCCTTATTCTGTAAGAAACGAACCGTTCGATTCAGTAGAATTTCTTCGATTGTGACGTCATTTTCGGTTTGGTAGCGCGAAAACCAAACCAAAAATGACGTCACAATCGAAGAAATTCTACCGAATCGAACGGTTCGTTTTTACAGAATAAGGCCTCTGAGGGCTTTGCCCAGCTCTGGGGTCAGGTACCTTATACAGGGTGTACGCAAAAGATGTGGCAGACAAAACTTGTATTTTTTTTTTAATGGAACATCCTGTATATTTTTGGCTAGAATGATAGATTTTTTTCTTCTGATTGCAAATATGTATTGATATTTGGTTCAGCTGTTCTTACGCTATTTAAGTTTAAAAATCAATTAACATTAGGTCTGTTCCGGGTTCCTTAAATCAATGGTGAGTCATTCTAGCCAAAAATATACAGGGTGTTTTATTTAAAAAAATACAAGTTGTGTCTGCCACATCTTTTGCGTGCACCCTGTATATATAAAAACTAAATTTTCTAGCGGTTCTCGTAAATCCCCATTTACTTTGTATTTAATTTTTTTTTTCTTTCTTGCTTCAAAGCGAGCTATATGCTGTCTAAATATACGGAACAACCCTGTACATTCGAAACATGCAGAATCCATTGGAATTCTAAATTGAAGAAGTAGTCCATCTCTCAAAGTAAAGCTGAAATTTAATTCCAAAAGATACATAAAGTTTTCCTCCACAAAATACCTACTTTGATAAAGTAAAAGCGCCCTACATGTTTCGAGGCAGAGGCAAGTTCGCTCACATCTTACAAAATATTTAAGGTCGCGCTAGACTTCGCATTTGACAGAGGAAAAGAAACAGAAGGTTGAAATATTGAAGAGTTAGGACAAAAAAGACAAAGAGAAAAAAAACATCAAAAAATTAATAGATCAATAATTGTATATTTATTTTTCCTTAATTTTTATTAATAATTGACTTCGCTACGTAATATTATTTTTATTTTGTCCATTATTATTCTTATATTGCGAAGCAACTTCATGGTTGTGGGTTATCTACAAAATGGTCAGGGAACTACAAATTTCATCCCAGGGAGCCTGTTTTTCCTCCAATAATACGGCGTTTATTTTTTTATTTTCAACTATGACTCTGTGGTGCTGAGCTACCATCTGGACCAGGAACATTTTCTCAGTCTCGGTGTACTTGATCGCCATAATTACTTGCGCATAAATTTCACAGACAAATCACTATTTCTACAGCCTTCTGACATTTTTCGCATAGAACCATATATTAATAATGACAACTTAATGACAATAACAATATACATTCCGTAGAAAGCGGTGTTGTCAGTTGCAAAACTTAAAACGAGGCTTCCTTCAATAAGGATGCTTCAACTTGTTGCTATGAAATGCCAAAGTCGCAAACCACGAAGGCGTCCTTATTCAAGGCGACCTTCAAGTCGCAAGGGGTCCTTAATTTGAGGTGTGACTGAGAATACGAGCCTAAGGCTTCCTTAAAATGGTCGGTGCAAACGGCCAAAAGTCTGTTTATTTTCTACTTAAAGTCTGTTTTTTTTTTTTAAAGATAATTCCCCAAGTCAAAAATTTAGTAACTATGTTGGCAACACAAGCCTTTTCTACATAAAAATTTGAAAGTATTGACAATTTTACATTGTATTGCCAACAGAATGTCACTTTGAGTTTTATCTTTAAAAAAAAAAAACAGATTTTAAGTATTATAGATCCATAATACCTAGGAAACGAAATACGTTAACATACCTATAACAACCTGAGGGCATTATAAGCCCAGCGGGCGTTATGATCCATAATGCCCGCGTTTGCGGGCTTTATGATCTATAACGCCCGCTTA